TTGGTCCCTTATTCCTAAACTTTTTGGGCAATTACCCCCAAACTCAATTCCAGCTTTCCCTTTGTGATATGGAACCTTGTAGTACAATTTCATAAAGATCCATACACTTACACACAAGTTATTGTCATTAAAATAGAAAAATGCTTGTTTTTCGCCCCTTTTTGGCCCCTAATTCCTAAAATATGGAGGCAAATACCCCCAAAATCAATCCCAGCATTCCCTTTGTGATATGGAACCTTGTGATACAATGTCAGAGAGATCCATACACTTACACACAAGTTATTGTCATGAAACTAGAAAAATGCTTGTTTTTTGCCCCTTTTTGGCCCCTTATTCCTAAAATTTGGAGGCAATTACCCCCAAAATCAATCCCAGCATTCCCTTAGTGATATGGAACCTTGTGGTACAATGTCAGAGAGATCCATACACTTACACACAAGTTATGTCTGGAAGTTACAAAAATGCTTATTTTTGGCCCCTAATTCCTTAACTGTGGGTACCATAACCCCCAAAATCAATCCCCACCTTCCTTTTGTGGTATTGAACCTTGTGGTAAAATTTCATTGAGATCCATTCACTTAAACTAAAGTTAGAGTGCGAAAACTAAAGTGTCTTCGGACGACGTCGCCGGACGACGACGACGACGACGACGACGACGACGACGACGCCAACGTCATACCAATATACGACCACAAAAATTTTTTTGCGGTCGTATAAAAACCTAAAAAAGTTCTTCAAAAAATTAACCGCCAAAACATGTTTTCCAAAATTGTCATTCCTCATTAATACAATGTCTTTAAAAAAAATCTCTAAAACTTACCTGTAATTATTTTTAAAATATCTAATAATGAAAAGTAAATTTCAAACTATATTTATACATACATTCTTGTCTATGTGGACCAATTAGATAACCGGGCCTAAAATCCAAAATCTAAATACACAGTTAGATTCAGCATATCAAAGAACCCCATATATTCAATTTTTGTTGAAATTAAACAAAGTCTAATTGTGGACCCGTTTTGAACATCTTGAAAACATGGCCCAAAATCAACAAGAGTGCACACGCTGAAATGTCTCGCCTTCTTTACTGACCATTGATATTATGATGATAGTCCTAAATATAAAGCTTTACTACAACTATCACATAAATTTAACATTATCAAAGAAAATGAGGTCAAGGTCAGATAAACCAAACGAGAAATACATGTATACCTTACAATCATTCAATACACTTATTATAGTTGACCTATTGCTTATAGTTTCTAAGAAACAGACTTAACCAAGACAAGAGTGCACACGCTGAAATGTCTCGCCTTCTTTACTAACTATTGATTTTATGTTGTTAGTCCTGAATATAAAGCTTTACTACAAGTAACACATAAGCTTAACATGATCCAAGAAAATGAGGTCAAGGTCAGATAAACCAAATGAGAAATACATGTACACCTTACAATCATTCAATAAACCAAATATAGTTGACCTATTGCTTATAGTTTCTAAGAAACAGTATTAACCAAGAAAACTTAACATTGACCAATGAACCATGAAAATGAGGTCAAGGTAAGATGAACCATGCCAGACAGACATGTATACCTTACAATCAATGTATGCATTAAATATAGTTGACCTATTGCTTATACTATCTAAGAATCAAACTTAACCATGAAAACTTAACATTGACCAATGAACCATGAAAATAAGGTCAAGGTCAGATGATACCTGACAGTTGGACATGTACACCTTACAATCATTCCATATACCAAATATAGTTGATCTGTTACTTATAGTTGAAGAAAAACAGACCAAAACACAAAAACTTAACACTGAGAAATGAACCGTGAAAATGAGGTCAAGGTCAAATAAAACCTGCGAAACTGACATGTACATCATAAAAAATATTTCCATACACCAAATATAGTTGACCTATTGCAAATAGTATTAGAAAAAAAGACTAAAACTCAAAAACTTAACTTTGACCACTGAACAATGAAAATGAGGTCAAGGTCAGATGACACCTACCAGTTGGACTTGTGCACATTACAATCATTCCATACACCAAATAAAGTAGACCTACTGCTTATAGTATCTGATATATGGACTTGACCACGAAAACTTAACCTTGTTCACTGATCCATAAAATGAGGTCGAGGTCAAATGAAAATTGTCTGACGGGCATGAGGACCTTGCAAGGTACGCACATACTAAATATAGTTATCCTATTACTCATAATAAGAAAGAAATTTACATTACAAAAAATGTTGACTTTTTTTCAAGCAGTCAATGAACCATGAAAATGAGGTAAAGGACAATGGACATATGACAGACGGAAACTTTGTAACATAAGGTATCTATATACAAAGTATGAAGCATCCAGGTCTTCTAGCTTCTAAAATATAAAGCTTTTAAGAAGTTAACTAACGCCGCCGCCGCCGGATCACTATCCCTATGTCGAGCTTTCTGCGACAAATGTCGCAGGCTCGACAAAAACCATTCATGATTGACCAATGAACCACGAAAATGAGGTCAAGGTCAGATCATACCTGCCAGACAGACATATACAGCTTACAATCCTTCCATACAACAAATAAAGTTGACCTATTGCTTATAGTTTTAAGAAAAACAGACCAAAACACATAAACTTAACACTGAGTAATGAACCGTGAAAATGAGGTCAAGGTCAAATGAAACCTGCGAGACTGACATGTACATCATAAAATATTTCCATACACCAAATATAGATGACCTATTGCATATAGTATTAGAAAAAAAGACCAATACTTAAAAACTTAACTTTGACCACTGAACCATGAAAATGAGGTCACGGTCAGATGACACCTACCAGTTGGACATGTACACCATACAATCATTCAATACACTAAATATAGTATACCTATTGCATACAGTATAAGAAAAACAGACCAAAACACAAAAACTTAACTATAACCTCTAAACCATGAAAATGAGGTCAAGGTCAGATGACACCTGCCAGTTGGACATGTACACCTTACAACCCTTCCATACATCAAATATACTAGACCAATTGCTTATAGTATCTGAGATATGGACTTGACCACCAAAACTTAACCTTGTTCACTCATCCATGAAATAAGGTCGAAGTTAAGTGAAAACTGTCTGACAGGCATGAGGACCTTGCAAGGTACGCACATAACAAATTTAGTTATCCTATTACTCATAATAAGAGAGAAATTAACATTACAAAAAATCTTAACTTTTTTTTCAAGTAGTCACTGAACCATGAAAATGAGGTCAAGGACAATGGATATGTGACAGACGGAAACTTCGTAACATAAGGCATCTATATACAAAGTATGAAGCATCCAGGTCTTCAACCTTCTAAAATATACAGCTTTTAAGAAGTTAGTGAACGCCGCCGCCGCCGGATCTCTATTTCTGCGACAAAAGTCGCAGGCTCGACAAAAATCTAAATACATGTTTAAATTCGGCATATCAAAGAACCCCTAGTATTCATTTTTTGTTAAAATCAAACTAAAGTTTAATTTTGGAACCTTCGGGCCTTAATGTGGTCCATTTTGAAAATCGAGCCCAAAATCAAAAATCTAAATACAAGGTTAGATTTGGCATATCAAAGAACCCCAATTATTCATTTTTTTATGAAAACAAACAAAAATTTGTTCTGGGGGAAACTTTAGACCTCAATGTGGACTAATTTGATAACAGGGCCCAAATCCAAAATCTAAATACACGATTAGATTCAACATATCAAAGAACCCCACGATTCAAGACTTTCAATTAAACTACATTGAAATTGGTCAAGACATAAACAATTTATACAAAGTATTGTTTTTGGCCCCTTTTTTCTAAACGGTTAGGGCCTTACATAACCCCCAAAATCAATCCCAACTTTCCGTTTGAGGTATGACACCTTGTGGTACAATTTTGTGAGACTTATACACAAGTTATTGTCCTGAAATAAGAATAAATGGGAATGTGTCCATGGGACACATATGATGCCCCGCTTGCATATAACGTTATAAAGGGACATAACTGAAGAACAGTAAAAGTGACGCTACCCAAATTTGCACTTGATCTGAGTTTTGTGGTAATAAGCATTGTGTATAAGTTTCATAACATTTGGTTGAGGCAAACTAACTAAAGTAAGAGAACGGAAACTAAAAATTCAGCACTTTTTTTCCATTTGTAAAGGGACATAACTCTAGAACGGTAAAAGTGATACAACCAAAAATCAAACTTGATCTGTGTTTTGTGGTAATAAGCATTGTGTATAAGATTCATAACATTTGGTTGAGACAAACTTAAGTTAGAAAACGGAAACCAATTTTGGGACGTACGGACGGACGTACCTGTAGACGGACAATGGTAAAACTTAATGCCCCCTCAGCTACGGCGGGGGCATAAAAATGCTTGTTTTTGGCCCCGAATTCCTAAACAGTTAGGATAATACCCACGAAAATCAATCCCAACCTTCCTTGTGTGGTATGTCACCTTGTGGTACAACTGCAAAGAGATCCATGCACTTATTCTGAAGTTGTTGTCTGGAAACCAAATGTCTTCAGTGACAACGGCACGGACAACGTCACAACATTATATGACCGCCCTTATATGACCGCTAAAATTTTGCAGTAGTATTTTTGCGGTCATATAAAAACGAGTTTTTTTTTCAAAAAAAAAAAAACAGTTTAATATTCCTTCCCAGGTCACATCGAGGATTCTTTGATTCATGAATGAATATTTAGGTCTGAGGATCAAAAGATGTTTTAAGCAGTTGCATTTCTAATGAAATAATGTTAAATACTCAGTTTTTACTTGATGTTTAGAATTTTTTTAAAGGCCATGATTAAGCTGATGAATTGGCAATTGATGGCCCCAAAAGATCAACTGTTTGGTCGCTTGTGTGTTCATTTTAACACTTGTCCACTGTAAAAAGAAATGATAATCTATAAATTGCTCAATTCACTGCAAAATCATAGGTAATAACTTCTCTATTAAATACTAACAAACACATTCTCTCTTTTATTGACTATCACAGCTCACAATTTGTGTTTGACCATTTCTATAACTAGACACTGAATTATTCTATTCACAAGTAGAAACTATTGCAATAAATTAGTAAAAAGTGAAATAACACCTTTCGTGACAGTACAATTCTGAACGTTTGGCATACCAATATAAAGATTCCTACATTACAATTTTTGTACTCATATGCATATTTAAAACACTAAAATGAGGTTCAGTTTTGTTTTTGTATGTAATGAAATGATGGAATGTATTAATCTAATATCCTCAACTGTGCATTGAACAACATTTTACTAAAAGACTACACAATAAATTCTGTAGTTAATTGTTATTATTAAATCAATTATTTACAATTATAGAATTGCAACAGTTGATTGGTTTTGTTGTATTTCTAATAAAAACCTGTTATCATCAAAACAAATGACGATTGTAGAGCTCTGAATTTACTAAATGTACAAACTAATATATATCTAAAATATTCACACTAGGCGAAAACAGTAAATAGAACACGATATGTGTTTGGGCTAAAACTGATTATAAAGTCAAATCAGCCATTGCAACATTAGAAGATGGTAAAGATGCAAAATGAAGTAAACGATTTGTATAAAAAGAAAAGGAAGATATTGGATGAAAATCAAAACAATAATGGTCTGTGTATTGCATTTTTCTAGTTGACCTCATACAAAGTTTCTGATATTGTTTCAAAATGACTAACTCTCAATCTAATTTATTCAAAAGTGGTAACCAAATGGTATTTTCGATATTAAAAAAAAATAAAAAACTAGATGCTTTTTGGAGTTCTGAATGTTTACTAAATTTTTCCAAATTTTCCCATGCTACTGTATTTCTTAAGATATAAAACAAAAAATTTCAATAGTCTGAAATGTTCTTTTTTAAGTAGTGATGGCCATATTCATTGTTAGACAAGAATGTAATTCCCAAAATTAAATTAAGAAAAAACTAAGGATCTTTCAAGTCAACTTTTGGGTTTTTATTGCTTCCTTAGTTTCAAAGAGGAAGATCCTTGAAACAAAATTGCAAATAATGGATACCATTGATAGCCATTTAAAAGCAATACCTCCAATAATTGAAATTACTGACTGTGACATACATTGATGATCAGAACTAATTTTATCATGCATAAATTAAGAAATTCATTTAAACTGTAGTTTGACCCCTATGTTCTATTTTTAGACAAGGGGGCCATATTGGTTGATCAAACTGGACGAGAATAACAACCTTTGTTGTTGACATCCTATAGATGAAGCAGACAAACTCAAGTTTCAATCCATTCAGCAGTTTCAGAGAAGATTTAAAAAAAATATTTACAGATGAACACAAAGTGATTGCAAAAGCTAACATTGTCCTTTCGGTTAAAAAGTAAATAAATTTGTACTGGAATCATTTTATAAGCTTAAGAGACAATCCCATTTGGATTTATTTGGATTTCAGCAAAAGGATCCAAGTGTCAAGATCAAAGTCAAATTTTGGTATTTGAAACATCCTGATCCCATGATGCTTCTGCATAAAAAGTTTTGTCAATCAAAGTGCAAAGTTATGTAATGTAAACAAATCAGACAATGTTTTACTATCATTGGGGTCAAAGGCCAAATTTAAGTTCAGAGTGACTTCACTTTGATATATCACATAACCACTCCATCATGCATCAGCATACCAGGTTTAGTCAACCTAAGTTCTACTGTACAAGTTATGCACAGGACACACATTTGACACAGCACAGGTTTCTGACACAGAATGAATGTGGTCTAAGAACTTAAGAATTTTTATTTACCTTTTCAAACCATATCATTATTATTTGCTTTTATATATAAAATCAGAAATAACCAATTTAAAATGGAAAATTTTAAAGACCCCCCCCCCAATTTTTTGATCCCCCTTATGATTCATCACCCCCAAACTCAAACCCAGCGTTCCCTTTGTGATATGGAACCTTGTAGTACAATTTCATAAAGATCCATAAACTTAGAGACAAGTTATTAAACTAAAGTTAGAGTGCGAAAACCAATGTGTCTTCGGATGACGACAACGACGCCAACTTCATACCAGTATAAAAATCGACATTTGAGGGCAATACCTCCTATAAGGAGACGACTGACAAAATCCGCAATGTTGACTTATTTATGGAATGATTGTCTCCCCTATAAAATGGTTAAAACTATAAAGATCTGGTCTGATCATTTACCCTATTAATTCCTTTATTTAGTCAAGGTTGATGCTACACCCAAAATAAATCACATGACGATATCAATACCGGACAGTCCTATATACATATATATATATATATATTATTGACACAGAGACGTGAGGCCAAAGCTATGATGTTCTACATACATATAAGAAAATGTGTATACAATACACAATGGTTTAAAAAATATGTCATCAGATGTGCTTACCAATTTTCACTTTTTTAGATGTACAAATACATTCAGACCTACATTCTAATAGAATTGATTGATTTTCATAAGGAGCATCTCCCACAGAAATGTCCATTTTGATGTCAGTGTCATTCAAAATACAACTACAGTTGCACATTTAATTTGGATGCCAAGCATGTGTACCTTGTTTAAAAAAAAAGAAACTTTCTAGTTACAAAGTGAAAGAGGAGTGTGTATTAGAATTGTATTTCAAATTACAAATATATTCATGATTTACCTTAAAATATCACTTGCATATCTTGTTATCACAACAAAGAACTGATCTTGGTGGTTGAAAAAATCAAGCTGCTCCTAAATGCCTAAATCTCTCATCTGGCAAAAATGTATATGCCATTTTGATATTTCATCTCACCTTTATTGCATTCAATTGTGTTTGCTTATTTGTAGATCTTATAAAGATGAAAGTGTTGTGCTGTTTTTCTCTATCTTAGTTTTCAAGGAAATATAAAAAAATGCAAGAAATGGGAAATAATTGTCACTTTAGATGAAGTATAGCCATCAGAATATTGAATGCCCGTTTTTGGCATATAGAATATGCAACAGGTTGAACATTTGCTTTTATTTACTATGTAGTAAATGCAAGTATTCCCCTTTTTTAAGCAAGTATAGTATTTGACCCTTAATCGCAAGTCAAGAAATGATTTCATCACTTATTACACCAGTAAAACAATTACCAGTTAGATTAAAACACTTTTACTACTACCAATTGATAGTCAAAGAAAGCATTGTATCTTAAATCCATTTCATTGTTATCTATAATTAATGTGAAATTTCCTGTTTTTATTTATTGTACCCAACTCTATTCCAGCACGTCACCAGTCAACAAACTACGATATAACTTTACTGTGCAAAAAGTTATTTAAGATTTTAAGGGAAATATTAAAAAGTTCAAATGTTTAAATAAAAGACAACTTTTCAGAATACTGTAAATTTAGAAATTATTGCCTGCATTTGTTTTTGCAATTTTTGAACAATAGACAGAAATGTGAGCTTTATTGTTGTGATTTCATGAAAATCTGAATACAGATGTATCATATATAAGAATGTGAGTTCTTATTATTGCTATAGTCACCTATTTGTTTGTTTATGAGATTGATTCCTCAGAAGATGTTAGTTTTTAAAGGGATTAATTAGGTTAGTAACTTATTTATTTTCTGGAACAGTTGCTTATAAAAAATTGCTAGGATTGATTTAAACAAAGGCATCTTACAACTTTTTCAATAGAGTACAAAAATTGAGATTTTAAAACTGTAAATTTTTATTCCATTTGAGCTATCATATCCTAAATTAGGTATTACAGTGGCGTAACTACCATTGACACAACTACATCCTTGTGTGCACAAACCAAATGCAAATATGTTATTAAATTACTCTACAGTTGGAGGTATATTTCATTCACCTTGTCCCTCCATGTGTCTCTCTGTTTGTCCAACAAATATTTCCTTCACAGTTTTTTTCTTAATGTCAATAGGTTGCTGTTTCGCTTGTATATTCAATAACATTCACATGTATTGGTATGTCAGGCAAACATTGAATGATTGCATTTTTTTAGTCCATTCACTTTTTGCCATTAGAGTTTAGACTTTATTATATGGTGCAGTAGAATTGGTACCTTTAATGTTATTCCACAAACGAATCAATATTAAAGTAAAATGTAATAAAAGAACAGAGTTCCAATGTCCCCCTCATTGCACTTATTTTATCTATCCAGGGGCAATAACTAAAAAAAATAAACTGCTTCCCTGAGTGCAGCTGGATATGCCCGCAGAGGTCCAACCCTGAACAGTTGGGGCAAAAATGGACAAAATATTCAAGCTTGATACAGGTCTGAATTTGGATTGTAATTAAATATTTGATATATTATAGGTTTCTGAATAAATGTAGTCAAATAACTTGAAATTGGTTATATGAAAGATTGTTTGCTGTTGTGCAATACACTGTGCTGTTGCGTAATACTTAGTAAATCTGTTGTCAGACTATAAACGAATAAAATCTTATAACTCGGAAAAATAAAATAGAAAATTTATAAAAATCAAAAGGGAGCTTACAATAATAGATATTAACAATTTACCAAAGTTTCATAAAAAATGCAGAAAGCATTTTTGAGTTATTGTACGAAAACTGGAAAATCCCCCTTTTTGTAATGAATAAAACCCCATAAATCGGAAACGTATAGTCTGAAATTTATAAAAATCAAATGGGAGCTCATGTCGATAGAAATAAACAATTAACCAAAGTTTCTTGCAAATTGGTGAAATTGTTTTTGAGTTATTGTCTGAAAACTGGAAAATCCCCCTTTTTTTAATGAATAAAACCCCAAAACTCGGAAACGGTAAATCACAAATTTATAAAAAAACGAAAGGGAGCTCACCTCAATAGATATGAACAATTCATAGAAGTTTCTTGCAAATTGGTGAAATTTTTTTTGAGTTATTGTCCGAAAACTGGAAAATCACCCAGTTTTTAATGAATAAAACCCCAAAACTCGAAAATGGTTAATCTGAAATTTATAAAAAACGAAAGGGAGCTCACGTCAATAGATATAAATAATTCACTAAAGTTTCATGCATATTGGTTAAAGCGTTTTTGAATTAATGTTCGACATGTTGACGGACTGACAGACGGATGGACAGACGGTCAATGGTATACCATAATACGTCCCGTAAACGGGATTATAAAAACACTCTTTTTTGTTGTTCTTTAAATCAATTTATAAATAAAAAGTGTGCGCGGGGGACAAAAAAGTTTTTTTTATTGTATACTAAATATTTCAGTCAAGGGCATTACTTAAAGTATACTATAAGTTTTATAAATAAAATACTTCGCTGAGCGCAGCCTGATACGACCACAGAGGTCGAACCCTGAACAGTTGCGGCAAGTTTGGACCCAATATTCAAGCTTGATACTGTCTGAATTTGGATTGTGATCAAATTTTTGATATAATATAGGTTTCTGACACAAAATAAATGTGGTCAAAGATCTTAATAATTTGAAATGGGACATTTAATTTACCTAGAATGGTCTGATATCCAAAATCTAACAACATGGTTAGATTCAGCATATAAAAAACACCAATAATTTAATTTTAGTTGAAATCAAACAAAGTTTAATTTGGACCCTTCAAACCTTAATATGAACTAATTTGAAAACAGGGCCCAAAATAAAAATCTAAATGCACAATAAGATTCAGCAAGTCATAAAGCCGCAATAATTCAGTTTTTGCTGAAATCAAACAAAGTTTAATTTTGGACCCTTTTGACCTCAATGTAGACCAATTTAAAAATGGGGCCCAATATCCAAAAATATTATACAAGGTTAGAACCCCCAAAAATTAAAGACTTAATTAATCCCATTGAAATTGGTTAAAACATTTGTATTTGTTTTCAATTGAAGATTTCTTGCTATTGCCCAAAACTGTGCAATTGAAGATTTCTTGCTATTGTGCAATACTGTGCAATTGAAGATTTTTTGCAACTGTGCAATAATGTGCAATTGAAGATTTTTTGCTATTGTGCAATACTGTGCAATTGAAGATTTCTTGCTATTGCGCAATACTGTGCTATTGTGCAATACTGTGCAATTGAAGATTTCTTGCTATTGCGCAATACTGTGCTATTGTGCAATACTGTGCAATTGAAGATTTCTTGCTATTGTGCAATACTGTGATATTGCACAATACTGTGCTATTGCAAAATACTGTGCAATTGAAGATTTTTTGCTATTGCGCAATACTGAGCAATTGAAGATTTCTTGCTTTTGCACAATACTGTGCAATAGAAGATTTCAAAAATTTTGAAGAAAAAAATTGAACCTCCCCAAAAAATTTGGAAAAAAACTACTTTTTGAACCCCCCACCCTCCCTTTTGGAGTAATTACCCCTAAACTCAATCCAAGCCTTCCCTTTATGGTATGGAACCTTGAAGTACAGTTTTAGAGAGATCCATACACTTAAACACAAGTTATTGTCTGGAAACTAGAAAAATGCTTGTTTTTGGCCCCTTTTTTACCCCTAATTCCTGAACGTTTGGGGCAATTAACCCCAAACTCAATCCCAGCCTTCCCTTTGTGATATGGAATCTTGTGGTACAATTTCATCGAGATCCATACACTTACACACAAATTATTGTCAGGAAACTACAAAAATGCTTGTTTTTGGCCCCCTATCGGCCCCTTATTCCTAAACTGTTGGTACCATCACCCCCCAAATCAATCCCAACCTTCCGTTTGTGGTATTGAACCTTCTGGTAAAAATTCATAGAGATCAATTCACTTAAACTGAAGTTATTGTCCAGAAACCAAATGTGTCTTCAGACGACGACATCATAGCATTATATGATGCAAAATTTTTTTTGTGGTCGTATAAAAATTGAACACGTGAGAGCGCTAATGAGGCCATTTTCCATAAATTTAATAATTCCAAGGGCATAACTCGTTTACAAAAAGTCGATCGTGCACCATTATAGAACTTGTCCAAGATATTGCTGATATTAACCTATAGTATAAGTTTTATAAAAATCTGGCAAGAATTGTACCCGTGAGAGCACTAATGAGGCCATTTTCCATAAATTTAATATTTCCAAGGGTCATAACTCTTTTAAAAAAAGTCCATCGACCACTATTATAGAACTTGTCAGAGATATTGCTGATATTAACCTATAGTATAAGTTTTATAAAAATCTGGCAAGAATTGTACCTGTGAGAGCACTAACAAGACAGGACGGACAGAGAGACGGACGGATGCCCGGTACCAGCAACCCTTGGGCCTAAAGCTGCTGGACACCCTTAAATTTTACTAAAAGACTTGATGACAGACTTTACTGGTGGATCTTTTTTATGCAGAACTTTGTATTTGTGTGTGCGTAATCTAGGGTAGTTAGTCTCAATCTCTGAAATTTTTTAGTTTGCCTTTCCACAAAATATTTAAATAGAATTTTTGAAGTAATTTTTTAACTTTTAAAAAATCCCCCTGACAATAGTTTTAAGCTGACAAAAGCACTCAGTACATTAAATGATGCTTTGTAGTTGGTAGATACATTTGCCTTTTAAAATGAATGTGCAACTGTCATGTAAGGATCGTAATCACAGGGTGGAACAGTATCAGACTGTTCGGGTTTTTTTTCTGCGTTTCTGGACTAAACATGTTCAGCAATGGACTTTTAGGATTATTTAATAAAAAAAAGTGAGGGTAGGTGTATCACAATTTTTTTAACAAAGCTTATTATTCTATACTTGTCCAGAAATGTTTTAGTTCACAGAATTTTAGAGTGTTTTTTTTTTGTAAATAAGTATACATATTTCTTTGAGCAGATCCATTCTTTTCAAATCATCTTCACAAATAAAACACCATGAATGAAAATACAGACCCTGTTGGTTGAAACCTATTATCTTAGTAAATATTTGAAGATTTTAAGTATATTATGCCTCTTTATAGACGAATATTCAAGTAAAGAAACTTAAAAAATGAGATTTACAACTTCTTTTTTTTCTCCTATGTCCATTTTCTGACACTGGGCCAATTTTTGAATGACGAAATGTATGTTGCTGAACACCTTTAGTCAAGAAACGCAGAAATAAACCTGAAAATTCCCTTACCATTCTGCACCGTGGTAATGATGCCATGTGGATAGTTATATGGGTTACAAGAGCTAAATTGACAGCACATCATCCCTACAATAGCAATTTCAATGGCCTCCTACCCATACTTAAGGGGTTTTGGTGTTTACAAAAATTAATTCTCAAAATTAGTGGTATTTTCAGAAAATGTTTATTGGCCAATTTTCACCAAAAAATAGTATGTACAACAACTGTGCCAAATTTCACTGGCCTCCTATTCATATATTTGGAGGTTTTCCATTTACAATTATTGTTGACAGACAGAAAGAAAACCATAGCAGTTCCACATCATTGATTCCTAAATATATTAATGTTATAAAGTGTATTTTTATTTATTGCTGTGAACATATCTGTTTTGAAATATAAATCATTTGAAGTTTGAATAATGTAAGAAAAAAACCCATAAAATATATGATTTACAGCGTGATGTTAATGTAATGTTTGAATTGTTCTTTTGCAGATTTTGTCCCTCTACATATCGACACAAAACGATTTCTACTGAAAAAGCAATTCTATATCATTAAATTAGACATTTTCACAGCAATAGCATATCATTTCTAAATGAAATTCTGTAGACAGAATTTCGAATAATTTCAAATATAAAAAGTGCATTTTTTTGTCACTCTTTACATACATTTTATACATTAATAGATCTATTTCATTACTTTTTAATTGATTGTTTCTCTGGAAGTATAACAGCTACATGTATCTTTATGGGATATTCAGATGAATTTCAAAGTGTTCAAAATGCACATAAAATTTGATTCAAATCTAAATACCATAAATTACATATACTTTGCTTATAGGGCAATAATTAAAATAAAGACTCACTTGACAACTTTGGTGATTTGACTTATTCATTGATGTTATCTTGGTTTGTAATGTTTTCTCTATGGATTATATGTTTCAAAAAAATAGTCAAACATGTAAAATAAATGGCAAAAGGCCACAATTCCTCCTTTAAGGAAACAATTGACAATTTCTGTCATGATGACTTATTTTCGAATCAAGTTTTGCTAATCATTTACTGTTTACTGTTACTCTCCAACTATTATGGTTTTCAAGATAATTTCCAGAAATGCAAGATAGAGATGCAATTCTTCATTTAAGGAAAATAACTCCTATTTCAGCCATGTTAACTTATTTCTATCAGGTCAACATCCAAAAATGCAATAAATTATCAAAACTTGAATTTCAAGGCCAATAAATCCTTTAGTGGACTGATTATTGTCAAAATTTTAATTTCAATGACAGTAAATCCTTTAGCTGACTGAAAATTTCAGTTATGTTGATTTATTTGTAGATTTTATCTTGGTGATAATTTTTGTTATTTACAATTTCCCTCAAACTATTTTAATTATTATAATAGTCAAAACATAAGAAATAGTGATAAATAGTATTTAGCAATAACTTCTACAAGTACTTGATTGCCAATTTTGGTCATATGATTTATTTGTAGATCACATCATCATGATAATGTTTGCTCTTTAAAGTTTCCATCTATCTATCATAGTTTTGAAGAAAAATAGTCCTTAGAACCTGAGGTGTGAATATAATACATGTATGATTGAAAAGATTTGATACATTATGATTAATAATAGTTACATACTTTTTCCAGAGAAAATAATGGGGTATTAGAAATTGTACAAACCATGAAATTAACACTTCGCTTGTAGGAAAATGCATTCATTTGCTATCAGGTTTGAAAACATTGATTTATCCAAGGGGTATAGAATATAAAATGAATGATGATTTTGAACAAATAGCAATGAATATTGTATGATTTTCCTAGATATGTGACTCTCTATAAATGTAACACAAGGTACACTGCTGATATGATCTCTATCATACTATGATCTGAAAAGTATTTGTGAGAATAAATACATGCCTATCAATAACATCAAAGTATTCATAGCATTAAACAAATACACATAAAATATATTTTGAGGTGCGTAGAAACAGCCAAGCCATCTGTACATGACCAACTACTTATTGTGTTCTGTTATTCAATGTAGAACTGATGCCAGCACTGATGATAAATTGATCCCATACAGTAGTTTGAATATTAACAAGTCTTTTCTGCAAGAAGTTTTATCCTGTAAAAACAAACAGAAATTTATTAACAGTTGTTCAAAATATAAACAGGCACAAGATAGTAACCCAAGGGAGTCTTAAGTTTCCACACATAGTAACTTGTTAATTTTCTGTTTTAACAGGATGAAGTTTTAGTTGATAATTAGCAATATCTTTAAACTAGACATCCTAAAGGTACCCACAGAGTTATTTTGGACATGAAACTTATCTCTAGAAGTTAAGAAACGGCCAAACAAACATATTCTAATACTTCAATGGTATTGCAATTGCAAAAAAGAACATATACAAATGGTTGATGAAAGGGAATCACTACTGTTTTTAATATATTTAACAATTAATGATATGTGGGGGACATGACCCCCAACCCCCACCAACAGACAAAATCTATGGTACACTTGATAGGTCTTGTCAATGCATTTCAGAATATATATGGTTTAGGGTGAGGTTAGTATAACAAAAATACCAAACCCCAACATAAATTAATAAACTGCTTCGCTAAGCTCAGCTGGATACGCCCGCAGAGGTCCAACCCTGAACAGTTGGGTCAAAAATGGACACAATATTCAAGCTTGATACGGGTCTGAATTTGGATTGTAATTAAATATTTGACATATTATAGGTTTCTGAATAAATGTAGTCAAAGAACTTGAAATTGGTTATATGAATTGAATTTATATTCAATTAAAGATATCTTGCTGTTGTGCAATACACTATGCTGTTGCACAATACTTAGTAAATCTGTTGTCAGACTATAAACAAATAAAATTTATAAAATTCTAAAGGGAGCTTACATCAAAAGATATAAACAATTCACCAGTTTCATAAGAATTGCTGATAGCATTTTTGAGTTATTGTCTGAAAACTGGAAAATCACCCCTTTTTTAATGAATAAAACCCCATAACTTGGAAATGTTAAGTCTAAAATTTATAAAGTTCTAAAGGAAGCTTACATCAATAGATATCAACAATTCATCAAAGTTTCATGAGAACTGCTGAAAGCATTTTGAGTTATTGTCCGAAAACTGGAAAATCCCCCTTTTTTTTATGAATAAAACCCCACAACTTAGAAATGTAAAATCCAAAATTTATAAAAATCAAAAGGGAGCTCATGTCAATAGATATAAACAATTAACCAAAATTTCTTGCAAGTTGGTGAAAGCATTCTTGAGTTATTGTCCAAAAACTGGAAAATCCCCCTTTTTTTAATGAATAAAAACCCATAACTCAAAAACGTAAAATATAAAATTTATAAAAAACAAAAGGGAGCTCACGTGAATAGATATACACAATTCACCAAAGTTTTATGCAAATTGGTTAAAGCGTTTTTGAGTTAATGTCTGACATGTTGCTGACGGACGGACCGACGGCAAACGGACAGACGGACAACAGTATACCATAATACGTCCTGTAAACGGGCGTATAAAAATGCTTGTTTTTGGCCCCTTTTTGGCCCCTTATTCCTAAACATTTAGGGCAATTACCCCCAAACTCAAACCCAGCTTTCCCTTTGTGATATGGAACCTTGCAGTACAATTTCATAAAGATCCATACACTTACACACAAGTTATTGTCCTGAAACTAGAAAAATGCTTGTTTTTTTGCCCTTTTATGGCCCCTAATTACCAAAATTTTGAGGGAATTACCCCCAAAATCAATCCCAGCCTTCCCTTTGTGGTATGGTACCTTGCAGTACAATTTCAGAGAGATCCATACATTTGAACACAAGTTATTGTCTGGAAACTAGAAAAATGCTTATTTTTGGCCCCTTTTTCCAAAACTTTTTGGGCAATTACCCCCAAACTCAATTCCAGCTTTCCCTTTGTGATATGGAACCTTGTGATACAATGTCAGAGAGATCCATACACTTACACACAAGTTATTGTCATGAAACTAGAAAAATGCTTGTTTTTTTGCCCCTTTTTGGCCTTTAATTCCTAAAATTTGGAGGCAATTACCCCCAAAATCAATCCCAGCATTCCCTTTGTGATATGGAACATTGTGGTACAATGTCAGAGAGATCCATACACTTAAACACAAGTTATGTCTGGAAGTTACAAAAATGCTTATTTTTGTCCCCTTTTTGGCCCCTAATTCCTTTACTATTGGTACCATAACCCCCCAAATCAATCCCCACCTTCCTTTTGTGGTATTAAACCTTATGGTAAAATTTCATTGAGATCCATTCTCTTAAACTAAAGTTAGAGTGTGAAAACTAATGTGTCTTCGGACGACGACGACGACGCCAACGTCATACCAATATACGACCACAAAATTTTTTTTGCGGTCGTATAAAAATGAGGGAAATCCATAAAAACTGACGAAATCAAACTTTAGACTTTATCAACCAATAGAACAAATGGAAAACAACTGTCATATTGTCAATTTTCATTATTGACATACTTGGGTGAGCAACCCAAACAGACAGAATAGGTTAATGATTAAAAAGTTTTTGATATTTTTAACAATTAAACTATGCATGAACCCATCAATAAAATCTATTGTGTACTGTAAAGGTATATATATGTAGGACTCTGAACCGTGATGGTACTCTGAACTGCGATGGTCAAGCTGAAGTGCAATGGTATGATGCTGAAGTGCGATGGTGGCATTGTTACGCTATATTGTTGATAGCTACGCAAAAGTGGGATGGTGCTAACGCTGAAGTGCAATTGTCTTCATAAACTTTTATTTTAAATGCCTTGCATGTCGATGTAGAAATCAATTTATTTGTTAGAAGCAGTTTTTCAGATTTTTATGTTAATAAGGGCTTATAAACTTTGAATACTATGTGAAACGGGAAGTGATTAGTGATGAGGGGAAATCTAACCTTCTGTAGTGGATTTTTTTTTCTCAAAATCTAAAAAAGGTTCTTTTTTATGTACGATGGAGAGTGTCATTCTCTTTATACATACAGACTCTCTGTATTATAATATAACCATAAACCAGGAACTCATGAGAGGAACCAAGTAAATCAACTCTCTCTGTATTATAATATAACCATAAACCAGGAACTCATGAGAGGAACCAAGTAAATCAAGTAAAAATGTTAACGCAGAATTATGTTCACATGCAGAAAATCAAAGAGGATGATTTCACATTTAGTATGCAACTGTAACTAAGGACATTCATAGACAATAACAAATGCAAATTTAAATACTAACTATTAAATAAATCTACTTCTCATAGGCCTAATAATTGAACATCAGTAGTTTTTAAACTTGCCATCATGCCTAATATATAGCTAGACTATTATACATCAGCAAATGGACCAACGCACTTCAGCATGGCCATCGCACATCCGAGTCCTCATATATATGGATAACAGGTGGGTATATGAACAGTTTTGAAGATAATATTCAAATAAATATACAATATATGTACCTTGTCGGAAAATATAACATTTATTTGTATGAGCTTTAGAAACAGGACGAAAAGCGAGGCTCGCCGAGCTTTTCTCCTGTTTCGTAGCGAGTACAAATAAATTTTATATTTTCCGACAATGTACATATAATGTTTTTATCCTAAAATTTACACCCAACACTTGAAACTTTAGTTGTTAAAATCTAAATCATTGTCTCTAATTTTTCTAAGAAATCGACATAGTTTAAACGCAGACCTCGAAGAGGACCCCAAAATGAACTGGTATGCAAAAAGAAATATCCACATTACCACTTGCTCAACATGGAAGCGGGGTAACAGGAGACTTTATTTGTACAAGTACAAATAAAGCAAACATTTATTTGTGTACCTGTTATTTGTACAATAGTTAGCTGATTGCAGGATAAATGAGATGCAATGGGCAATGCATGTCCACAGGGACAAAATTTATTAAGAACAAGTCTTATCAAGGCAATTTGAACTATATATAATAAGAGGGGAAGGGATCTGAATCATTTTTGAGATATTTAACTTCTTGTTTTGCTCTTTACAGTTGTCTCTATCTACTATAACTTTCAAAAAAAAATTGTCACTGAAAGGAAAAACTCCTTTAAGGGGTAGACTGACAGATATTGTCTTGGTGATATTTTTGTTTTTCAATGTTTCTCTTTATTTATTATAATTTTCAATTGATCAAGATAATCACCAGAACACAAAACAAAATGGTAATCCTTGTTTCAGGGCAATAATTCATACAAAGAGTCTTCTAACAATTTTAGTCTGATTGAACAGTAATAGATTTTGACATTTTGAACATTTTTGTCCAGCCAGATATTTTTGAACTATAATATTATACAATGCACAAGGATTGAAATGTAGAATGTCATTTTCATTATTATTTCACTAAAATGATTGAAAGTCTGGAAGAGTTGTGTGCATAATTTCAAATTATATTCTCAGGTATCCTGGTGAACAAACAAAAACCATGGGACACAGATGATGCCCCCGCTTCCATATAACGTTATAAAGGGGCATAACTTGAGAACGGTAAAGGTGACATCACCCATAATTCCAACTTGATCTGTGTTTTGTGGTAATAAGCATTGTGTATAAGTTTCATAACATTCGTTTAGTTGAGGCAAACTAAAGTTAGAGAACAGAAACCATTTTCCGGACGTACATAAGGACGAATGTATGGACAGATGGACAGACAAGGGTAACACTTAATGGCCCCTCCAGTGATGGCGAGGGCATAAAAAACTTGACATATCATTATTGCATTAAGTTCAGAAAGGTAACCTTTTTTTTTAGTTGATAAAATATAAGAACTTTTGTGAGCATGCTCACATACCCCTCACCCCACATTGTCACACAAAATCTCAACAGATTCCTAAGTTCAAAGACTCACAACTCCAACAAAAGTCAACTGATAAAATTTCTTTTGGATATAGTCTAGTCAATTAAGTGAACAACCTGCAACTAATTGCAACACAAAGTTTTTCTCTGAAAAACAAGTCTGTTACTATCTATGAACAACATACTAAAATTATACAAAAATATATTTTGCGGAAAGTGGTGTAATTAATCAAAATTTTTTGTAGTAAAAGTAAGGTTATATGAGTTG